CTGTCTCTTATACACATCTAGATGTGTATAAGAGACAGCCCCTACACCGATGTTCAAATCTTGACTACTCCGCAACCAAAATTGTGCCAACACCAACAATGGTGGTTTTGGAAACTTCTTATGGAGGGGTACATCGGGCTCTTACCGCACACCCCCTTGGTTGTTTCAAAGTAGGAAGGAACGATTGGCCATCGGTGATCGGTCCCGTGGGAACAATGCTCCGTCCTCTCGAGGACGCGTGGTCAATGGTCTCCCTGCTAAGGCATGCGAAACATGAGAGAACGTCCCCCTGGTTGTGGAGCAGCCGAGGCCTAAAAGTCGGTCCAGGGGGGGTGCCATGTCTCCGCCTCGTTCGGTCTTCCAACCTCCTCCGCAATCGCTTTCACCAAGGGCCGTACTCTTACAAGTCGGCGGCGAAACCACGGTAAAATTTTCCCATGGACGAGATACACTCCTGCGCATTGATTAGCTGTTGTGTTTGCCGCCTCTGCACAAGGGCAAGAGCGGCGGGGTGTGACCCTTGGTGCGAAGCCATGGTCCCCACGGAAAAAAATTCCGCTCGATCGCCGCCGTTGGTGTACGCTACGTTTGTACAGGTTTCACCGCGATGAGACGGACAAGAACGCCGCCGATTCGAGCAGGGCCACCAGCAACGACGAAGAGGAGGAGGAGGAGGAGGATGGGGAGAGGGAGGGCGATCATGAGGAGGACCAGAGGGACCTGGAGGGAGAGCAGGAGCAAGAACAGGACGACGAGGAGAGAGGGGAAGTACCCGAAGGGTTCGAGAGTCTTGAGGACCAAGATTTTGTTGACGACCGCGAATCACCCGTCGCAGACGATTTCGACGGGACGGGGTGGTGGGCGTCGTGAAGCCTTTAAGAGTGCCTTCCTGGGTGCCTGGCGCTCGCTGGTAATCGGTCAGGCTGACCAGACTTCGTCCGGGGCTGGCCCCTGCCACGGTGTCTCGCGTGTGTTGGTGCTCTGTATGGGTTGTGACTTTCGTTGTCTTTCCGTGAGGATAAACGGTGCATGGAGACCGGTGTTCTTGGTTGGAAGAGCGTGCGGATACAGGGGCCTGCCGGGATCATTCGCCGATGTTTGCCGGGCGATACTGACAAGAGGGGGAATCGAAGGTCCCGTTGGTGTCGGGCGGTGGAAAGATGCTCGGTGAATGGGGGGANGGGGGGGGGGGTTGCAACCGGGGGGAACTGGTTGTTGGCTTCGGCCTGACGTGCCTTGTTGGGAGAGTAGCACAGCATCGTCGGTGCTATTTCAACCACGCCGGTTGTGAGAACTGGTTCCCGAGGTGAAGTTGAGGGTTAATTATGGGATGCCCCTGGAGGCAGGCCTTGTTGTCGTCGTAGCCGTTGTGCCCCCATTCCTGGTGGTCCAGAGAGGCGTTCTTCGCGTCTCAGAAGGGACAAGCGTCGGGGATTGGGGTGCGTTTCAGGTTAACATTCGTTGGTTGTTCGGGGCGTGATTCTGCGAAGTGAAAAGTCTATGTAGGTGTGGTGGGAGGGAGGGGGCGGGAAGGTCTCTTGGGCGTAATAATAGGTACACTTTCGCACCCCCTGCGTCATATATATAAATATATGCATTGATGTTTACCAAGTGTAAACGTTGTCTGGTTTGGGCAAGACGGCAGGTGTTGGAGCTCGCGCCCATGACGTTGAGTTTGCAGCCGCCACTGCTGCGCTTGGGGTCTCCGCTCGATATTAGTACGTAGTAGACTGGTAGACCTTTTCCGTTCACATCACATGTACAACACTGGGGCGTGTTTCGGTTGGTTTTAACTCTCTCCGGAAGGAACGCAAATGGCCTACCTACTATTACGAGAGCATCTCATCTGCGTCTCCCCCCGAAACATTTGCAAAAAAAAAAAAAAAGGTTTGTTGTTGGCGTTGGGAGCCAAAAGGAGGATCCACCTATATTCCTCCTCTAGCAAAGCATCGTCAAATTGTATGGAATTGCCAGCGTTTGTCGTGATGGTTCTTTGCATGGCGTTGCCCGAAGGCCCCGGGACGCTATTTTACGGCAACAATGGGCAATGGAATCGTGCTAAGCGACTCCGGAGGCGCATCCCGTAAGGTAATAAATGTCTGCACCGGTGCTGCAGAAGTATGTAGGGTGCCAACGGCTCTGGGCGTTATTTGCTTTCGGCGAGCACTGGGGGAGGGGCTCCTGGGCAGGGGTGGGGAATTGGAACAACCAGGCAGGCTTGAAAACACCTAATCAGCCGGTCGCACTTAGAGTTGACCGCCAAATAACATTTCATGAGAGATAGAAAAGAGGGGGGTCGTGCTTTCATCGTGAAAAAATAAGTGTACAACAATATTTGGGGTTCTCTACCGTTGAAGTTCCCACTTGATAGTTCCACCCTGGTATCAATTGAAGAGGGTTACTCGAGGTGCAGCAAATTCGCAGCCAGTGGTGACGCACGGGCCGCTTGCCCAAGTCCACACGCGATGTGACTGCAATGTCGTGGTGCCTACTTTGGAGTGCATGGGCCTGTCGATGTTGTTCCAAAAGTGGATGTTGGCAAAAAAAGTAGCCCGGGGCGGCCTCAACCGAAGCCCTGTTTCTTGGAGCTGTCGATGCTGTTACAAGAGTGACTACTGGAAAACAGAACGCTTGCAACCCCCGCCCTCGACTCTGCCAAGCCGTGCGAAACCCTGCGCGGTTTCAATAATAACAACCCTTTCGTACTCGCTGTCCTGTGTGCCCGGCTTGGCATGGAAGCCTGCGCTGTACGTGGGTGTTTTCCCTTGTGTCGTGTGTCGTCGATGCACATTCTTGTTGAGTTCGGGTTGATCTGCAATGTTTTCGCAAACCTGTACACCTTTTCGTGGTCCGGATGGCGAAGGCATGTGCCGACGACAAGTTGACAGCAAGTTTTCCTCAACTTTGGCGCACGAAGCCCAGCCACCCCGCGGACAAACACGGAAAAAGTCAGGATGTTGCAGGCACGCAATGAGCCAATGATGCCCAGGGGGGACCGCCCGATGCTAGGCGCCGCCACATGTTGACCCTTTCATTCTGCGCTCCCATCCCTAGACAGTAAATCTCAGAAGCGACACAGAGACAGCGTGGCCCAACGAGTCAAGGGCCGGCTACGGCTGTCAGTTAATCCACGGGATCTCAATTGTTCAAAAAATGCCTGAACCAACACAGACGAGGACAGCCTGCCAACTTCTCCAGATCCATCCGGTGCCTGAACTCTGTGGCAGGGGGTGGCTCAGTAACCGACATCTTCCATGTCTTCGTCGAGCATGCCGGTATACTCGGCGACGTCGTCGAGTGACAGTGTTACCGCGCGCAGATCTTCGTAGACCTGGCGAGCAACGAAAAAAATCAGCATGTGCCCAGAAAGCAGCGAAACACAAGTGCATGAGCATGTGGCGGCCGGGGTCGATCAGTCGCTGCCCGCACGCTGCAAGCAGATATCGAAATGCCATTTGAAGTGTGTATCGTTCGAGTACCAATATGCATGTGAGAATAAAATCTCGGCCATCGAATGTGCGTACTGTAGACACCTGCTTGGAAAATGGGTATTGACAGATGCGAGGCAAGAGACGACTTGCAATCAAAGCACAACAGCGCGTACCAAACGGCCCGCCCCGAGGTAGTCCAACGCCTTCGAAGTAGGAATTTCAACGGTACTTCTGACCCCACCGTCCCAGGTTACCTCAGCTGCACCGGCCTGCCTCCGTACACTTGAAAGGCTAAACTAGACAAAAAAGCCGGAGGAAATCAAGCAGCCATCCATTCCGATTCCACCGGCAGAAAGCCAAACCCTTCGCTTGCAACGCGAAGCCAAATTCCAACAGCCTTCCCTCCGACTTCATGCGCAATGTTAAGCTATATTCTGTATAGGAATACCGCAGGTAACAATCACATCCCCACAGGAGAAAAACAAAACTTTCCAACAACCAGTGGACAGACGCCTCATCAGGCTCCATTCACCCAAGCCCTGCACGGACAACACAAGCCACCACCGGGAGGGACAGGGGACCCACCCGCCTTACCTGCACGAGGGCCGTCTCCTTCTCCTTGTTCTTGGCGAGCAGCTTCCCCGTGGCCCCCTTCTCCGCACCGCGGACGACGATAACCTTGCCGCCTCTAGAGGGCAGCACCGTCTCTAGGTGCCTCTCTTTCACACCTGTTGCGTGCACGTTGGTATGCACCAGTCCCCGTGGCCATCGAACATATCAAGGCAGCGGGCAGCAGAGAAAGAGAAAGTGGGCAAGTTGAGGTAGTGTGCAACAGGATGACGCCTATACGCCTATATATATATATGAAGATTTGTGAAAAATTACTCGTTGGTGCGCTGAGGTTCGCTGAGCTGTTCGAGTTAAAAACGTCAGCTGTTGAGGTTTGGGGAAACGTCGCAAGGCAGCTGACAACCAGCTGTGGGTAGGTCCTGCAGCAGTTTTCATCTTACATCACATGACACTGTGTGCTCGCATGAGCCCACTCGGGATGGATCAGTTGTAGAGACTACAAGGTGGAAGACGCGGCAACATGCCCTCGGCGAAATGGTGGAACGCGTCAGTCCATTGCACTCCACCGAGTGCGCAACATCGTGCCAGCACTACTTGCGACGCTTGTCGCACGGATAAAAAACAAAACCAATCGCGTCGTCGTTGCTGCCGCTGTTAACCCGCGCCCAACATACAAGACAGCGTACCGTCCAAAGGCCGCAAAAGCATCGGGACTAGATATACCTGCAGCAAGAAATATGCTCATGCCGAAAAGGGTCGCGTTCGAAGGGAGTGCTGACAGCTTCTCCCGAGACCCATCATCCTTCGGTTCGGTATGGTAACACTCCCATGTCGTGCAGACATTGACTTCCGAAAACTTACACTTTCGCGTGTACAAAGGTACTTTTTAGGTAGGACACGATACAGGTTGTCGGCGAAAGCGAGAGAGACTTGAGAGTTGAGCTAAAAAAACAAGTTATTAACGTTTCACATACAAAATGCCAAACAAGGTCTGCTATTGTATGCTTCACCTTCGAGAACAAGCTCGCCGAGGTCCATTCGAACGGTCGCCTGCCCGACACGCGGCACATCCACCACCCTCCCCTTCCCAAGGTACGCCCGCCCCCCGCCGTACGACTTGTGGATAACTCGCACCCGGATGTTGGCTCGCAGCCACGCTGGCGGCCCGGACTGCCGACCGCCATTGCCGGCGTTACCGTCGCTGTAGCGACCTCTCTCGCTGTCCCCATCATCGCGGCGGCTTTTCTCGGCGGGGATGTCATCCCGGCGTCCCCTCCCCCCGTCATCGTCGTCTCTCCGTCCGTCGCGTCGGCGGTATCGGTCCACTTCGTCGTCGGGGCGGCGGCGGGGTGAGGGTGAGGATCTCCGGCCATCGCTGCTCCGTTCTCGCTTGCTGCTGCTGCTGCCCCCGCTTTTCTTGTGTTTCTTCTTGTCCTTGTTTTCTCTTCGCTCTCGGCGGGCGTCTTCCCTGCAGCCACACGCCGCACGTGGGAATGGCAAAAGCGTTTCCAAGTTATTGGTACGAAGCGCGAACGCAGTGAACGAATCAACACCCCCAACCTCGGGCAGGCACGTGTGTGTCGATTAAGTCGGAGCGTGTGCTTGTGCGATTTGCTGAATCAACCGAGTTCTCAACTAGGGGCTTTTACTCGCAGATAATTGGGATGCAAAGCACACAGTACCACCCTCGATGAAACAAGCTCCAGCTCACGTGCGTGTGCATCAAGAATTGTTCGGTACACCAGCATTCTCTTTTAGAGTGCTCGCAAAAAACAACCCTTGCGCTTCAATCCTTACGGTCGAACCGGACCACGCAACTCAACCACCGATGCACCTCCCCGCGGGATGCAGATGAGCCAAGGAAACCTTGCACCTAGCAGTACGGGAGAAGTGGCCACATCGACCGTGGGAAGCGATGCCACTTTTCGATCCCATTCTATCCGAGGAGAAAAACAGACGTAGGAATATTGCTGGAACATGAACAACATAGATAGAGGCAAAGAAGGAAATCATTATCCGAAACCGATCACGAAAGCCAGAGGATGCTTCGCGAGCAGAGTATTCCGACGCGCAGTCCACCCACCTCTCGACGTTACCGCTGCTTCGGCTACGGCTCCCACTCCGACTCCGGCCCCTCTTCCCGCCGCCACTGCTGCTGCGGGAAGAACGGTCCTTGTTTTCGGAGAACGGCCTTCGCGCCAACTCGTCCTCGGAAACGCGCGTCGCGGTCGCCTTGTCCACGAGAAGTTTCTCGCCTGTGTCTTCCATCCTGAACAAAAAACGACATACCAGAGAGAGGGGGAGTGAGAGAGAGAGAGAGGGAGAGAGACAGAGACAGAGACAGAGAGCGAGAGCGAGAGCGCCAAGATATCTGGGGGCCCGCAGAGCAAGTTGGAGGGGGTGGGGTCGTGATAGGTGTCTTGAGCTAATACTGGACGGTGGTCGGCCACATCCCAGTGGCAATAGGTTCGTTCGTGTTGGTGGCCTTGAATTATCAAGTATCAGGTATCGTAGAGTTACGGCGGTACCGCTGAGGCTCTCATGGTGAAGAGCAACAGCGCGGTAGAGAAGGGGCGGCGTGGTCGGCTGGTTCTGCAATGCACCCTTTTTGATACGCGGTTCTACTGGCCACGGCGCGCCTTCATGAGAAGTATGGATATTTCTGCTGAAAATAAAACGTCAAATCCTTGCTCTGCACTACTAGTACAAACGTGACAATAGTCACAATTGTTGTGGCCGGTGACAATAGCCACAAACCAAGGGAATCTCGACGACAAAGTTTGGGTACAAGTGCAGAACGAATGGATCGATACGGAGAGTTAAAAAAACCAAGACATGGAGCAAGCAATGCTACGTGTGGAAGAAACACGAAAGAAAATAACACATCACATGGGTAAAACATCACCATCCACGAAAATGAACAAATAATCGGAATGAAAGGTCCAATACACGAAGCATGCCAAACCCATGTTGCATGTAACTACAAACTTCAACCGATTTGTTACATAAAAAAACGACAGCCAAATGCACGCCGATGTTAGTCGCGAAACGTGGTCGGTGCCAATGCTCGTTGACCTTCAAACTTCGTCGCTCCATGCAAGTCCGCTCGTCCATGGTCAAGCACCCCCATTGCGTCAGCCAGCAGACACGAAACATACCTCACGGATATCTTGTTCAGCCCGGGCACTCCCTGCGTCTTGAGCACCATCGCTCGAGGCCGGCGCCTGCCCCCCTCTCCCCCTGCTTCCGACAACTCCACTACGTCCATGACGGCTAGCTGCGCAGTCGCACTTGGCCGTGATGCCCGCAAGCGCTCCTCCTGAACCTTTTCCTCCCAGATCTGATTGGGCGTATAGCGCAGGGAGAGCAGGTCGAAAGAGGGATAGGACCGAGGTGAGAGATGCCGATGGGCGGCGTCACCGCCGATTCACAGGGACAGAGAGTACAGGGGGGGGGGCGAACGACCCTCAACGCTGCTTGTCTACCACCCGAGAGTGACAAGAGGGTGAACACAACATTTTGGGGGTGAAACGAACCTCCCGGAGAACGTTGTTACCGGCGCGCCAACTAGTTACGACGGATGGACAAGAGCAAAACCAAGTTGGATGTCGCATGCCCGTGACTACCGTATGAACGCACGCCGTCATCATACTCAAAACAATTTCGTTGCGAAGACTTAGCCCTGCTGAAAGCAGGAACACTGTAGCGCCAACCGACCCAAAGGATTATGGCCTGCTGGCGGCTTACACGGGCCAAGATCGTCCCTCCAACTTCGATGCAACCAAGAAATGACGCCACACCTTGAGGCGCTCCGCGTCCGATGACCTCGGCTTCTCTCCAGGCTTCTTTTTCCGCGGCCGTTTCATCTGTGGATTAGATTTGCGGAGGCGCGCAGAAGATGGAAAGCAGTAAGCAATGACGCCGTGCAACTGACACAGACGTGGAACGGTAAAAAGGTGACCGGCTTGGTTGAATCGCGGAACCGACGGTGGGACAAGGGTCGCCGGGGGGGGGCGCGCGCTCACGCGTGACAAAGACGTCGAGGCTACTGTAGCGGGTGTTCCGACAGGCCACTAGCGCAGCGTTGTGCTCTGAAAGGGTTTGCAGAGTTTTAGCCAAGGCAGCGACGAATCCACAACCAGACCACGAACAAGCCCACAACTTCGTCACCACAAGCGTAGCAAACACACACGTCGGTACTTACGAAGGTGAACTACGGCCGACGCTTGTGTACCGGATGCGGTCCCGACGAAGACAGCTCCGGTACACAAACAACGATAAGATCAGGTCTTAACTCATGTGCAAATACAAGGCTGAGGGAACATTGTGCCAGTAGTAGACAGTGACATCACTTGTCATACAGCGGCAAGAGAAGTGCTCGGGCAACAAGCGGCATGCATTGCGATGCCGTCTCTCGCAAGACACCAACCCGCCGGCTACTGGAAATCCTGAAGTAAGCGGTGGCTCGAAAACAACGATGAGACATGCCGCAGACAACCCCCGAGCCCCCCATCCCCCAATCGCCACTAAAACTAGACTTCTCATTTCCTGCCAAACCCGTTCGTTGCTCTTCCCTCTTCCGGCAGGGGAGACGTGGCAAAAATATCTATCCCACCCTCCTGCGACGCACATGCACATCTCCATGCACACAAGGCATTCGTACAAACCACAACAGTTGCACCGCAGGGATTCAACACGAACACGACGGTCCTTCACCGCCAAACCAGCAGCGACGACGACGCCGACACAAGACTCGCCCATGGCAAATAACACGTCTGCGACCCGTCTCTTGCCCCGCCTCTCCCCTCACCTCCTCTGGGGGCTTCGGCTGCGCCCCCAACCCGAGCCTGTGATGCCTGGGCTCAATATCCTTGGACAGATCCGGCCCGCTTCCGCCTCCGCCGCCGCCGCCGCCGCCGTCTCCCTCTGGCCCCGTCCACCCCATCCCCCGGAGCAGCGCCGCGCCGAACTCTGCGACCGGAACGTCGACGTAGGCCTTGCTGCGAGCGCTGAGGTCCTCCGCGCGATGCCCTAGGTCGTGCTTGAACTTGGCGTCCTCCCCGTCCACCTCCATTAGCCCGGGGATCATGTTCTGCTCCAGCAGGCCAGTTTTCCTTTTGCTGCCGGCGGCGGCGGGTGTTGTCGTCGCCGTTGCACCGCCGTTACTGCTGTCGCCTTCGCCGGCGGCAGGGTTCTTGCCGATCATGCCGATTACTCTGTCGGAGTTGACGCCCAGCCCAAAGGCGTCGGCGCTAGACCCGTCGCCACGGACGGATTCCTTGGCGATGGCTTCAGCCGCTAGCTGATCGAGAGATTTCTCGCCCGCCGGCTCTTCTTCCGTGGGTAGGCGTTCGGCTGCCGTTGCTGCAGGCGGAGGAACAGACCCCGCGTTGCTGCCGTTAGCCCAGGGGTTGGAAGCGAGGGCGATAACGCGGGGACCTCTGTCCACGACGACCTCTTTCGTGACGACCTTACCCCCGCCGATTCCTGTCACGTAGTCCCGCTTGCCTCCCCTCCCCCCTGCGTCCTCGTCATCGTGGGCTATGCCTATCGCCGAAGCGGACCACTTGCTGCCGCCGCTGGTGGCGCGATCTGGTCCCTTGGCCGACGTAGCAGAAGAGGAGGATAGCTTAGGCTTGCCCAAGGACATGGAGAAGCCCTTCTTGGGCTTAGAACTCGCCATGATGGTGTCGTGATGTAGGGTGGCTATCCACACGCAACTTCTCGTCCTCGCCCTACAGCAGTATCCCCCTGCTCCTGGCTCAGGATTGCAGGCTGAGAGTTATGGGTGCTGGGCAGACCCGAAAAAAAAAAGTTTGAAAGAGAAGAGCTGCGTGACTCCCGCTGGTGGAAGCCACACAGTAGACACCAACTAAGTTATACTCTGAAAGGAGAGTCAGGATAGCAGAGACGGTTCCACGCTGGCGCCTGGGCGGGCCTGTTGCGCCTGCTGGTCGGCTCTCGTACTCGTCTCTGGAGCTCCGCAGGGTGAAAAAGGGTATCTTATCACCCGCGGAGCCCCCAAATCTCCGGAGAAGCTTGTCGGCAGATCGTGGGGTTGGTCCGCATTTGACGGCTTCCCGTCCTGCTGGTTGCACTCGCACTGCATACATCGCCTCCAATATGAAGAACAGCAGAACAGCAGTTGCTGGGAGTACGGCACGACTGCAGCCGCCAGAGTGGGCCATCTTCATGGTGGCCATAATCGCGGACCTCGTCTCTGCTGCCGGACTCCTTCCCGTCGAACGCCTCTCACTCTTTCGAGGTCTGGCGGTGTTCTTGCTGTACAAAGAGTGGGCGCTGGCTTCCGCCTGCGGCTTCGTTCTACCCCGGGTCGTGCCCTTGATCGCGGTGTGCTTCTTGAAGCAAAAGTGGAGGGCGTTTAAAGTGAGTGTGAGGCGAACACGATGTTTTTTCAATTTGGTTTTGTTCTCTGGAAATACAGCAGTGCTGTTCTTTCTGCAGGGAGAGCAACTTTTCCGTTCCCTGGAAGCCTGCCCAGCATCCTACCGTATTTATTCGCATGGGTACAAAGTACATGGATATTGATCATGCTCGCAGTTTCGACCTGTACCCTGCGGTGTTGCCATCTGTACCATCATGCGAAATATTCATCTGCAATTCAACGTGTGTTAATAACTCAATGAGAGGAGGGTGCAGCCGCTCCCTAAAAAATGTCGTGCACAATACCTCTGAAAAGAGGCGCTCTACGCGCGATTCCGCCTGTATCACAAGTACCTTTACTTCTTACATTCGTCGTAAGGTTGCCAGCTGGATCAACAGGGCATGTCACCATCAATCATCCAACCGACGAGATGCTCACCGCCGTTGAAAGCAGAAAACGTACGGTTACAGAGGGTGCGACGTAGTACTTCGTAAGTTACAACAGTACCGTGGTCTACAGTTTTTTCCTGTACTTCCAGCATCATGGCTTCAGCGAAACATACGCCATGCATACCTTTGTGTTTTCGGGGCACGCAAGCTGCGAGGGCATATTGAAGTATCTTAACGTAGGACCCATACATGTACATGCTTCGCCAAAACATTATAAGACATGTAGGGTCGCCGGTAACGCACATGCGACAAACCGATCTCGGAAATGACACTCTGAGGCACAACCTGCGGGAGTCGGCTCCTCCGGCAAACTGTTGTGACGATTTGCCTCTCTCTCTACGCCTCCACCAACACAGGCCTCCGCCCAGGAACGGTTAAACGCCTTGGCTGCGACTGCGAACGAGCGCGCGGGGGTCTCGACCAATGTTCCACACGCAGGCATGGGCGGGAACACATCTGCCCATCGACATAGTCGGCATTCTCAGGAAGGGAAGGTGAGATGGGCTGAACAGCTGTGACGGCTGCCGGCGATATATCGGCATTGGCTCGACGTGGGGGCCTCGTGCTGAATATCGTGCAAACGACGGGTCCTGATAGGCAAACTAAACAGTGACTGCTTGCTTTGCTCTGAGGCAAGGGCTTTCTATTTCTACCTCGAAACAAACGGAGAGGAATAGCGTGCACATCGAGCTGCGATTCGTGTTGCCCATCCAGCTGTCCAATGCGAAAGACACTTGCCTCGCTGTGCAGTGCACTATTCTCCCTAGACATGTTGACGCAATAAGAGGGCGACCTAGCTGTGTTCAACGAACGGGCTCGACAGAAGCACCGTTTGCCAAAGAGTAGCACGCTGTTTGTTGCATGGGTCGATTCGGCTTTTCCGATAGCAGGATGCAGTCTTTCACGTTGGAAGAGCAGCGTCGGCAGTATCGTTTGTCGAACGATTCCGACACCTCTTCCCGGTATTCGGTCGAGGGGGCATGATGTCTGATGCGAATCACCTGCACGGAGCCCTTGCTAGGACTACAACCGGAATAATAGGAACAATACAAAAGGGTATGATGTAATCATGCCCAAGCTAGCTCAGCGGTGCATATTTCTTTTCAGTATTACAACGCACTAAGACACAAATTGTCTGGAGACATCCTGCCCATTCTGACTCAGCGGAACATGAGGGACAGGATTGTGTACCTCTCTGCAGTACAACTTATGAAGGCATACATCAACCCACCTGGTGGGGCTACCGATGCGTGGGCCTGCGCGTAACCTTTCGTTGGCCTTGACACATGATATGTTACGTCTCGTTCACCTTGATCGACTCGCAGGTTAGCGGGTACGACGTGTCTTCCGTGAGCGGTGAAGAGGTGGTGGAGCTAAGCTCGTGGGCAGCAGAAACCGCGAGTGTTGGCCATGACAACAGCAGCAGTAGTGGGGCAAGAGTGCGGCAACGGAATCCGCTGCGATGACCACCACTCGGTTCATGACACAGAGGGTAGACACAGACTTACCGTCGGATTTTCGGAGCGAAGGGCTGTTTCCCCACAGCCGCCGCCGCGGCCAGCCGCAGCCTCCGTCGATAGGAAAGTCGCTTGAAGAGGCTGTCCATGGGCAAAAGGTCGTGAAAGTAGCCTTGATCTTGAATGTGCAGTTTTTAGCCGTAGCTCACACCTGAAACATGGGTCCTATTGGAGGGTGGTGTTTCGTGTTTTCGCTGCCGGAGTGCTACGAACAAGGTGCTTCACGCAGTGCTTGATTGTTTGGTGGTGTAGTGTTGTCAGTGGCGGCAAAGCACAATCGCCTTGTTTATTTTGGAATACAGCAGTAGCAGAGTCACACCGCAGTCGAGGCTTGGATGGAAATACAGGTATCACACATGTATTGCAGCACGAAGCACCCTAGACGTTAATGGATGAGGGCATTCCTTCGACCTCGAGTAGGCCTCTCCTGGGTAGGAGAAGGCACGAAAACAGCACATGGCCATGCACTTTGTTCAGTACAATGCCGAGACCTGTTACCGAAAGCGGGTCCAGCATGCGCTTCATTCCGTACCGCCTAAGCATCGTGTGCATGCCATCCCCGGACCAAGAGATACCCATGCTGCACCCCAAGGCATGGCTCTCTACGGCCTAGACGCCGTAAATGTGTCTTAATTGTGTGCAAGCAACGATGCGCATTTGGGTAGTGTACGTTTCTTGCTAGACCGTGCGATGCAAAGCTCCTAGCGTAACCGTGCACGCGATGTGTGTGTATCAGTTTCAAACATTGGAGAGATGAATATCCTTTTACAATGCCCGATGAATCGACAGTAAGTTGCAGACCAGCCTAGATCTACGCCTCTGATGCCATGGTGTACTTATAGATAGACTCTGCCCGATTTCAGGCGTGCGAACAAGTTGAATCACAGCTCATAGACCCGGACACAATCGATTTATCCTTGGTGACCCTGACAGCATCGACTTGTACTTGGTCAGCCGTGACACGGTCGATGCCACTGGAGTAGACACACTTAGGCTGGCCACACCTCTAGCCAAAGCAAGAAGACGAACAGATGAGGCACGTGGTGCAAACAGTTGCGTTGGGAATACGGTTGTGATCGGCACCAAACTTCTCCCGTCTTGTTGGAGGTTAGAGTAGCGATTGAGAGAGCATGCCGAATCAAACCTGCAACGTGATTCGCGTTCGGTACTCGTATATCTCAACGGTAACGTAGTGCAGGGAGCTACGCAATGTAAGGATGATGGATTGCCCTCCATTTGACTATCGTGGTTGAGGTGGTAGCCTTTTGTGACAGTCGAAGCACCTCAGGCGTTGACAGCATCCCGACGACGTTAACTAAATGCTGGTGCGTTGTGACTACCGACGTTGGCCAACGGCTCTATCCCTCGGCGTAATATTGTGCTCGGTAATCCTCTATCGCGCTTTCAAGCGCAACGCGCAACGCCCTGTCCTGAGTATTCCTTAATATTGTCTGCCAGGGTAGTGGAGGTGTTTGCCTAATGCCTAGCTGCATACCAGCAGCCTGCCCGGCGTATTGGATTTCATGATCTCAGCTTGTTCCTGACATTATCGCTATGTACAGTTAGTTGCTGGAATGGGACGTAAAACTCGTGGGGGTAGGCAACGGATCAGTGTTGCCAGGAACTGAAGGGAGGCACGGTGGTGCTATAGAGGGAATGGAAGCGTGGGGGAGGGCCGTGAGGAGAGTGTTACAGGTGAGACGGAATGACTGGGTTGGGTATGGTGCGAGGGGTATAGTCTAGAGGGCAAGGTAGGGTGTTTGGCCCAAAGCTCGACTTGAGGCGCGACGATATGACGGGGAGAAGGGCGGGGCGTCAAATTGGTGTGGCCAGGGGCTATGTCGGATGCAGCCGTGGCAGTTGGATGGACTAGACAGGACGCGGGGTGGGGACAAGGGGTCGGTGTAGCCAAGGGGTCTGATGGACGCGCGACGGTATGATGGGGCCCTTCAAGAAGTGAGTGTACGGAGAAGCTATTGTGAATATCGCCACATAGGTGGTGAGACGGAATGAAGTTGGCTTGGGGTATGGGGCCAGAGGTATGGGGGAAAGAATCGATTTGGGCGAGGATCGATGTCAGGTGCAGCCAGGCAGGTGGGTTCAAAATTGGCATAGGGTATGAGGGCCAAGGGTGATGGGTCACCGGGTGCCAGAATCGAGTCAAGACGGGGACTACGGTGGTATGGGGTGGGTTCGGCGTGGAACAATGTCGGGCGCAGCCAAGCGGGAGGGTTGGATTTGTAGGGGCACGGGTTCGATGTAGCCAGGAGCTCGGGTGGATTCGAGACGGCGTGACGGGCACAACGGCGAGGAGCGACGTCTGGTGCAGCCACTCAACTGGATTTTCTGGGAAGGCGTGTGGGGTATGGGGCAAGGGATCAGTGAAACTAGGAGCTCGGATAGATATGGGGGAAGGGCGGGGCGAGAGCTGGGTTTGGCGTTGATGCTTGTTGCAGGATGCACATACCTTTCTGGCAAGTGCTGTCTTCGTTCCCTTCACCTCTCTGAATGCTCTGCTTGAGCAGCATCGATTTACTATTACATCTGTATCAGTCCTCCAAGTTTCGACAGCGGTGCTTTTGAATGATAAACACCCATTCACGGCGACACCATGCCCAGCAGTGCCACTGCGTTTCCCTAGCCAGCACACGTGTTCAGCCTCCCATGCAATGAGTCAAGTGTTCCCGGATGAAATGTACACCAGGGGGCACTAGACGAGAAAAACGAGAACATACATACTCGAATGGGTGTCTACCCTACAACAGGTGCGTAGCAATCCCTATGTGCATCTTTCGTCACGAAAACAAATTCTACCCTTAGTTACCCTGGTCAGTCAACCCGGGATATCGATAATAGCTTACTCCACTTTACGGTTACGAAGGCACGCCAGATACAGGAAGGTCAGAGGACCCGAAACGTCCAAGGTTTTCCTACGGAGCTTGGCTGTATCTCTATCATGGTAAAGACCTCGAACTGTCCCCTGCCAGCATCTATTCCAACGACAGTTTGCCATCCACAACTACACTAAATACATGCGCTATCAGGTACGATCGGCAAATACAGGAAATGGTTCTACCCTCTGCTATACAGTAGCCCAAAACTTCGAAATAGGACTTTTCCGGAGGAAATATCACGATGGTCCTTGGCTTACGCGTATGGCTTGTCTATGATATTATTGTCTTCCCGCTACGTCATATATCTTAAAACATCGACTACCACTTACTGCTCCTGCCTGCCATCGGTAATGGGTCCCTGAACTGCGGGCCTACAACCTGGACCACCTGGAGGAATAACTCCACGGCAAAGACGTGCCTTCTCATTCCTATCGCGACAGAACTTAGATCCCTTCAGCTAAATTATGCCTCATCAACAGCGGAACCGTTGTCTGGTCGAACATTGATCGTGCGCGTTGATTCCTAGTGTTGCTGGTTGCCCTGGTAGCCTTTACTGAGTGCCCGATGACTTCACGGACATGCTCAAGCTATGGGGGAGACATTGGCAACCTTGACGGCCAGCTACGCCTGGAACCCTACGTGATCATTCCACCTAGATGCGCCGGGCTTCGTCAAGCCTCGCGGCGTACTTTTCATCCATGGCCAGGAGGCCAGCGACGGTTTCGGCGAAGGTCTCGGCCCCTGTGGCGAGTTGCAGCGGGTCCAGCGTCCAGCCGATGACGCCAATGTGGTCGAGGGTGTGGTGTTTCGATAGATATACGCCGGGCTGCATATACTCGACTGTAGTGAACTCGCCGCAGAATTTGTCTGTGCCCAGACCAAGCCGCGGGCATATCTGGCCTTGCACGGATATGAAGCCATCGTTGGAGCGCCACCCGTTGAATGCATCGTCGGTGAGCTCATTCAAGCCCATGAGGAGGGAGAACGGCCAAAGCAAGATCAACATGGAGCTCTGTGGTACACACACCTCGGAGAGAATGCTAGTGGTGTTGGTCGAGACGGGGCGTGAAGCGTTCCCGACATAGCTTACGTAGAACGTGTTGTTCGACACCGGGTCGCCTTGCAGGTTGAGTTCCCGCGCGCCCTCCAGGCTGGCGACTCCAGCGTGGTTGCCCCATTCCGGATCGTTGTAGATCGGGAACGAAGCGATTCCCTCGATGCAGTCGTTGACAGCAGACACGTTGGCGACGGAGCAGTTTATCCCGAGGTAATCGAAATCAAGGTAGTAGATTCCGTGCTCAGCGAGCTCTTCGCCAATGAGCCCCTCAATGATGAACACGACCCTCTATTTGAGGTCCAAAACCCGCCCCCCGATTACATCCACCAGGAGCGTGCCGTCAACGGGGCCACTGAGTGACACGAGGCCGCTCACGACGTCGCTGTGGTCGCCTTGATACAGGGGGTCAGGTCGTCGGTCAGAGTGGCAGCCTTTTCCACCGCGCTTCCGTCGCGCCAGTAGATCTCGCATTGGCGGACGGCCATGGCTCCCTGAGGGTGAAACCGCATGGGCAACCGGTTTGCAAGATGCGGAACGTGGAATCAATACACAAGCATCGATCGAATCGGGCGCCGTCAGGGGATAAGTTCTTTCCCTTTCTCCGAGCTCAAAACAGACCTTGGGTGCACTGTCGACGGCATTTGTTCTAAAACCACAGACGCACGCACACTACAGTATCCACAAATAACCGGATCGGATTCCATTACGGCGGTGAAAAGCACGTGCAGAAAGAGGTCCTCATTCAATGATGCCTCTCGGCGAAATATTTGGGGCGAGCGAGGAAAAAACAAAGTGAGTCAGCGAAACGGCTTGTAACAGTAAAATACGGGTACTCCTCATCTCTCGTTCGTACCACAACTTCTGGGGTTATTCACTCCATCGCCTCGGTGGTCTAGTCGTAACCTCAAAACCGCTAGTTGAAAGTCGTGAGTACGAATCCCCACGGGGTGAAAAATTACAACTTTGAGGGTGAAAGCGAAAGAGAAAGCTGAAAACCCCTCGATAATATCAACCTTGGACGTTAGCACCGTCGACGAGGGAAAGGGACGGCTGGACCCTCCTCCCGAAACAAAAACAAACTCAGCACGCACCGCAGGATACAGGTGGGGCAAGAAAACATCAATAAAGAATAGAAAATGGCCCCCCTCGTGTGTGACCCTGGATTGTTGTAGTTGTACGAAATAATACACTGAAAAGTGTAGTACTCTAAATATGTTGTACCACGTCTTACTACGAAAAATGGGGGGACTGTCGCCATAACAACTAGGACGAAAACGCACGCACACATATATTCACAAGCTGTAACCCTGTCTACTTCGTTCATTAGTGCAGAAGTATGTGCCATGACCTGCATGTTTAATTTTGTGACAAATTTTGAACCGAAGAGAGGAAACGACTCTGTTGAGCTCGAGGGTGCTCTTTTCTGGCGGTGACTGATGAAAAAAGCGTGATGGTGGTATTGTGCGCCACCCTACCCAATGTTTCCTGTCTATGTGCTTGCTTGGTTCTTCAACAGTGTACAAAAATGTACATGAAGCTCTCGGTGATCAACACGCTAAGTGTGACACATGGGGGCGCTCAGGCGAAACGTCCCTCTCTTCTCCTTCCGGAGAGGAGTAAGCCCGGTCCGGCTCATTTATTGCCAGGCTTTTGAGGTGGATGCGGCGATATGGATAATGCTGTGGTTTGGAGCAACCTCCGCGTGATCATCTGTCCTCAGGGGACTATCGCCGTTGCGGAACGTCGTGTTGCCGGGCGCGTGGAAACGATAGCACTGCTGTGTGGAATTTACACCAGGCAGGAGAAGCGCATGGGGGCAGGACGCGGGAAATGTTCGTGGGTTTGCGAACATTGGTGTTGGATATATGTGCCGGATGATTTGGTGTCACGCAGACTGGTACGATTGCCGTTTGGTAGGAGGCACCGCGATGATTTACGGGGCCCCTCCTTGCTATGGGAGCCGCTCTCTGAGCACTCCTTCTTTCGTCCGTGTGAAGGGCGGCCGTCAACCTCTCGTGAAGTTAATACATCACTACAACAGTCTCACCCGTAGGCCGCAAACACTCTAGAGTTGTTTTTGCCCCTCGATGGAAGCCACATTGGGATGAGCTCTGCTGGAGACGAAGAGCGCACTGCTGCGAGCGGAGAACAGATCCGCCCGCCGGTGCAGGAGGGCCGCGATGCGAAGCTTGCAAGTTTGCAACTGCAGATTTCGCAATTGGCGGCCCTGGTGGAGGAGTCGGTGAAGAAGGAGCCTGGCAGCGTCGTGGCGGATGCAGCCAGTAGGGGCGGCTGGGTTGCTGTCCCCGAAAGCCAAGAGCCCCTGCAGCCGCACGGCGGAGGCGGGGGATTTCTCCAGCAGCAAGCGAAAGGTAATGGGCAAGGACCACGGCAGCTGCTGGAAGGCGGATGGGCCAGCAGATTGGGAGCAAACCCAGTTGGACCAGCCGGAGTGGGCCCGGGCATAGGACCGGACTACGGGGAAGCGAGGGGGTTAAACCCCCCAGGTGAGATACCCGTGATTCGAAAAAATGGAGAATTCCTCGACGGCTACAGCAGTAGCCACATGAAGAGGGTAACAGTCAATGCCCCTCGTCTCGAAGGGGAGAGTCACGGCCATGGCTATGCCTCGTGGAGGAAATCGCATATTCAAGCGACCAAGACTGTAGGACTGGACGGCCCATTGATCGGCAACAACGAGAGACATGCACCTGTCGGAAACCCAAACGTGCCGAGCTCGAAGCTGTACCGCCTCCAATACACCAGCGACGAGGTCCAGAGGGGCCTCCAAGCGTTCCACTTTGTGACCACTACCATCGTCATCGTCAATGAAGCCGACAAGGCGATCGCGAGCAAATGCGAGACCGCAAAAGAGATCCTCGCGGAACTCGACAAAATCTACGATCCGGAATCGCAGGGCTCGAAACAAGCCCTCATGAAGCAAATGTTCAACATCACGATCCCCACACACAGCACCAGAAACCCCATCGAGCACCTGTACTCGCTCGAGCTGCTGTAAACACGCCTACGCGAAAAAGGGCTCATTGCTGACGCACCCTTTGTACTCGCCCACTTCGTTGGTTCCTTCCCACCCGAGTACTAACAAGCGAAGTTCCTGTTGGAGACAGCAACGGCGCTGGATAGGGCCGAGATCGTCAGAATCGTGAGCACGGTGCACGCGAGCCTTCCGGAGGGGAGGAAGGCCTCGAAGGGACAGCGGAGGGCGGAGCACGCTCGCCTCGCGAGCGACGGTAGCGGTGGGGGAGGAGCGCCGGGCCGCGGCAACGGTGGCCGCCGCAAGGGTGGCGGCGGCGGCAGCGGCGGCGGCAACCAGAAGGGGAGGGGGGGTGGCGCGAAGGCTGGTGGCGGCGGCGGAGGCGGCGACGACGATGCGGGTAGCATGCGCGGTCGCTGTTTCCGGTGAGG